TAAACGCACCCGGTGGAGCAGCGGCTCCCAATGCGGCGCCTATTTGAAATTTTCCATCACCGCCTCCACCTCTTGAACACAAGGAACGCGTCCAACGCGTCCGACAGCTTCTTGGATTCTGTCGTCGCTCTGTGACGGTGGTAAGTGAAAGCGTGAGTGTGAATGATGAGAGTACGTGCTTGAAGCGTTCTAACACCGTTTGGCTACTGCTCGCATCATGGAAAGTCGATGAACGGGCTCTGGCGCGCACGAAAGGAAGAGGATTTAGCCCGTTTCTTGGGTGGAGGGAGCCATCTGCCGCGGACGATGAGGACGCGTCGGCCCAGGGTCAAGTTCCAGTTCCGGATGGTTTGTTGAAGGATCCTTTTGAAGGAGTGAGAGGCGCAGGCTGGGAGGCGGCGGTGGGAGTGGAGGACATGAGGGAAGAGAGAGAGGGAGGGACGCGTCATCAATTTGATCACCCGATTTATTTATAACTCACAGCATTCGAGATTTTTTTTGCTCAGCTTCAGGTCCATGTGAGGGCCAGTCGAGTACAATAAAATCCTTTTGATTCCATGGGAGTTAAAACAACAAGTCAGCATGCAAGGAATCGACTCCAAAGATAAATAAATCAGCCGCCGAGTCCAGTCCTTTTTCGGCCAATCGCGGGCGAAGCCAAGGGATGAAATATAGGGAAGACTTGCAGTTTCCATTAAAGCACGAAAGACGCGTACAAAGACACAAAAACGCGTGGAAAGACGCGTTACAAGTCCCCAAAACCAACCTGTCCGCCTATACCCCTCGTCATCCTCGAGCTGAAAACAGAGCTCCTCCTTCTCCTCTTCGGACTCGTTCTCTTCGGAATTAAGGTCAGAAGGGAGTGATGTCTCCTCGACCTCATCGTCAGCACCGGTTTTGTGGCGGCGTGGCAACGGTTGAAAGTTGAGGTGGCCCGGGTTGCTTAACCCGGCTTTAGAGCCGAAAGGCAAAAGGTGCAGTCGGGGAAGTGTGGGGTAGTGGATTATACAGAGTCGCGAGGGAGGGAAGTGAGAACGAGTCTGAGTGTCGAACTTTGAAAGGATCATCGGCGGCCGCGGCGGCTGACTTGGATGGCAAAATGTGGCCCGAGATCCAGGCAGGAGGTAGGAATTAGAGTATATTTACAGTGGCAGGAAAGTCGAAATACGGCCAGGAACAGACTGGAGAGTTGGACGACAGCCTGTGGACGACTGGAAAGCGCCTTGACAGTACGCGTCAAGCCTTGATGTGGCTGTCCCGGGTCAAATGTCCGGTAAATCAAACGACACTTTTCGTGATGGCTCATCCGTCGAAAACTTTTTCTCAAGTTGTTTCAACATCGACCCCACTTGACGCTTTGTTGGGCCAGGTGCGGCTAGTATGTGCGAGTCCCAAGGATTAGAATATTGATCAATTTCACTGAGCGCGATTGGAGCGCGACATCGACGTATGGAGAGAGGAGATCACGGTCATGTGACAGACAAATCGGGTCGCGTTGTCAACTGCTGGGATAGCAGTCTTGTCTGGGACTTGCCAATTCAAACAAAAGGAAGGTAACGTTGGAAGACAGATAATCATTGAGGATAAAATACAGGAAATTTGGGACTCTACACCACCACCGACGATACCACACCCGAAAGAAACCAGAACCAAAGGAAGATTCCGACAACAAAACACCTCCTCGATCGCGATGCGTCCATCCCCGAGGTCCGTGTTGTAGAAGTGCTGTCGGAAAGAAGAATGAAAGCCAGTGTCGAAGGCGGGTCGATGCTGGGGCGCCAGAGTATCGGGGAGAGGGTGGGACCTCAGGCAAGAGAAGCAGCTCAAGCCGTCGTCCGGTCTCCGGACCAATGACTAGACATCTTCGCCAACGACAAATGTGTGCGAGTGAAGAAGAGAAGATAGTTGAAGCAGAAGTGGTGGTGGTGGTGGTGATGGGTTTACGTCTTTATGGCAACTTCTTTCTTCTTGCCGCGCTTGTAGCGCTCCTTTGCTCGCCGCACACGATGGATTGGAGGCGGGAAAATGATCCGTAGGGCAGACCAGACACCGGGTATCTACGAGATGATGATGAGCAATGAGACGACTTGTAAGGGAGTGAACGTACATTGCGGGCCAGGAGATCGACAATAGTCCCGTTGAGGAAGAGACCATAGACGATGTCAACGCAAGGAACGTCGAAAGGTAGCACAAGCACCTACAGAAACTGATCAGAAGTGGAAAGAATGGAAGAGTAGAGGACGCACCGTCGGTAGTGCGAGGAGAAAGACCTCGACGAATATATTGTACCATGAGCGACTCGCTGCTTCACGGGCAAGTCGTGCCTTGAGGCGCTGCCGCTTGAAGAGTTTCTTTTTGCGATTGTAGGGAGCAGGTCTAGGGGAGACAATTCGGCGAAGCGAGCGGGGAAGGGCGAGAATGAATAACGAGGCCAGGGAGCGGTCGAGGGCGACGGCATGGACGACATCAAGGAGGGATACGTCAAGGAGGCTCACGAGCTTGAGAACTAGTTAGATGATGGAACGGGCAGAGAGGATGACACGTACGATGGGGAGAAGGGGGCTCTGGAGAAGCACCGATAGAGCCAAGAGCAGCCTGCGAAGAATCTGGCGAGGATGAGAACAAAACTAAAAGAGGGTGGAAGAAGAGGCGTACCGTGGCCAGAGGTACCATTGTTACAAAACCAATACCAGATTGCACCACGGCGAGGAGATATTTCGGCTCGCCGAGCAGTATGCCGTCGAATGCGAGAAGCCCTGCTAGGACTACGAACGATGCCAACAGCTTGGTCCAAACGATGCCCGTCTTGCGCTTGAGTAGCCGCGTGAGTGCCACGGTGGCGGTGAACATGCCTTCCACCTCCTCGAGGCTGGCGAGGTCGAAACCAGCAATATTGGGGCTGGGTGGGTGGCTGCTGGCGAGTTTGCGGTGGGCGTGCGCGGTATGAGCAAGTTGCGCGCTGGCGAGGTCGAAGCTGACCGAAGGGCGGATGTTGACCTGGGCGAGGACGGGAAAGGTGTCGAGAGGGCCCTGGGCGAGTACGACGGAGCCGTTGGTGAAGGCGTTGGCCGGGCTGAAGGGCAACACCTCTGGCTGGTACTCGTTCCACCAGCAGACGGGGTGCCTAGGAAATACAGGCACGACCTCGGGAGGCTGGAGGGTCTTGGGGGTCTGAACAGAAGAGAGGAGGAGGGAGAAGGCGGAGAAGGCGAGGAAGGAGGCTTTGCGGAAGAACATGGTTGTTGTGGCTAAGATGAGGAAAACACACTCAAACGAATGGCCTCCATTTTATGCCAAACAGTCGCGTTCCGTCACAGGCAGCACGTCTTCAACAAACGCGATCGGGAATGCAGAGTCCGTTGTCGGAAATTTTCGCGCCTGGACCTTGTCTCCCCGCAACCTCTTGCATGGATTCTGTGTACTTTGAGTACACTTTACTGGCATGGCACGGGTCCCTCATCCCACACGAAAGAGGTCGAGAGGTTGCCGAATGCGATGAAAAAATCGGTCTGAGGGCGATATAAGTTGACCACGTTCATCCAGAGAATAAGAGGTATAAATTGGTGCTTCGAACGCTTGAGCCGTCTGCACTGTGGTGAGTCTGGGGTGCATGGAGGATGAAAGCAAGAGTGTTGCAGCGGCGACTGATCCGAGCCGAAAGTCCGACTTGTGCTTTGCTCTCATGTTGTGTTTCCTCATTCGCAACGGTATTGCCTTCGACGCATTGTAGACTCTCCTCCTGGGCCCTATGAAATTCTGCTCAGGCCACACCACTATGGACCAGTCACTTTCTGGGAGGGTATCAGTCCAACCTCCAATCGCAATCAGCCAGCTCGGCGCTAGCGCTCTAGCTGTCCGGATTCCATCGAAGCAGAGCGTTAAACCATCTAGCGCTCTTCCTAGTCTGAACTGTAACTTCTGTCGCTTCAATGAATCCTTGGGCACCGTCCGCGAAAGGTGGCAGCAAACAAATCAGATTCGGCGCCAGGAGAATGACTCGGTGGCTTCAGATACAGATACAAGAGTACTGACTACTGCAGGACGATCTCTACACTACCCCGACACCAATAGTACCTGCTGGATGGGCGTCAGTAATGATTTATTACTGAGTGGGTTAGGGCAAGAGAGAGCTCGGGTGGTTGGTAAAACACGTCGCGCAACGATGGGGCCACCTCCCAAAGTGCCGTAAGTGCGGATAAGGAAGGGTATGAGTCGACGGACATTGGTGATTTTTTTCTTTTTTTTTCTCTTTTCTTTGTTTTAATCAATACCCCCAGGACGAGGCAGCAGGTGCACGCTGACGATTCGGGAGTGTCCAACGACACATGCCATGAGGCAAAGCCCTAAGTCACACACTCGTCTGCAGAGGGGCACCGTGTGGCGCCCTCGCCGAGCGGTCCTTTTCAAAGGAACGTGCTGCACTGCGCCACCCTGGGGTAGAATGTAAGAGGTAAGAGCCGACGAGGGAGCGCGCGCATGGAACACATTGCCCGTTAGGCAGTGGCCCCACAACACTTTGCCTATAGAGGTTATAGGCAGAGGACCATCGACATGCGCGCGCTGGGGCACCCCCGTCGAGCTGTCCGTTGCCAACCGTTCGTGGTTTGGTATGGGCCACTCGAGACTCTCCTCGCTCGCGCCAAAGAGAGAAGAGATGATAATAAAGCTAACCCACCTGGTCATCAACGACGAGCTTTGGTGAGGGCTTGCAGGGCTTGAGGAGGGTATGGGTTAGCGAGAGGGCATGTGGGTCGGGTAGGAGGACGGGGAAGATGGTGGTAGGAGAGCAAGAGGCGTAGTGGGTCCCATCAGTCTTAAATGGGTCCGCGTTGTGTGGTTGTGTCTGCAGGTACCCATCGCGTCTTGATGGGTCTCTTGCTCCGCCTGCTCCAGTTTTTGCGCATGATGATATATCCACCAAAAATCATTTTCAACCACAGGGATACATAAACGTCCCTGTCTTCCAAGGACTCTGACTGGAGTCTTCGCACAAAAGAACGGGCAGATGCCCGGATTCGAACCGGGGTTACTGGTGATGAAGTATTCCAGCGTAATTTTCCACTATACTACATCACCTCATGAACATCATTCCTTCGGAGCAGACCACATTGGTCAAGGACTCGCCACCCCTTTTGTTGAGTATAACCACAGCAAAAACTTGGACAGCGAGAAAGTAACGCGGGAGAATCGAGAGATTGAGCATTTTAGAAAAACCGATTTATTGTGGCGAGCGCAGGTTCGAAGATATCAGAATCACAGGTACATGCATATGGCCCTCAATGTCCGAGGACGGCAAGAGGCTGGTACGGTTCCTCCAAGTACTTGATTTCCTCCTCCGTCAACTTGAGGTGGACTCCAGCTACAGCGGTGCATCAGCCCTGGACATCTAGGAGGATTGGCCCAGACTCACCGATGGTGTCCGCGAGGTTGGCAAGCGAGGTGGTACCGACGACTGGAGCGGAGACGCCTTGGATTTTTGTAAGCTGCGGAAGGGATATGAAGGAAGATATATGTGCTCACCCTCCTTGCTCAGCATCCAGGCGACCGATACTTGGGCCATGCTTACACCGTATTTCTTCGCGATCTCCTCGACTCTGAAGGGATAATCAGTGGGCAAGTGCGCGGGTGGTAGCGGAAACCTGCCTGTTGACGACCGCCTGGTTGCCAGCAGTTTGGAGGTACACAGTAGGAGGCATTCTGTATACCCGTTCAGTGAGTGCGAGAAGCGAGAATGCGATCGTAACGCACATGTCTGAAGCCTCGCGATTAGTAGGCTTGGTATTCTGCTTCGCCAAAGGACGAGTCACGGCTCCACGGGCAAGAGGGGACCACGGGATTGACCCAACACCGAAATGCTACCGCAAATGGTTAAGTGACCGAACGAGGCGTCGTGCAAGCCGCCTACCTTCAAAGTCGGGAACATCTCCCGCTCCTCTTCACGGTACAGGAGGTTGTAGTGGTTCTACATGGAGATGAAGGGGGTCAAGTTGTTGGCGATCGCGTAGTCTGTGACCTGTTAGAGTTTCTCCAAGAATCGTGAAGGATCAAGTACTTTGCATCACATGGAATTGCCAGGCATAGCAGGACGAAAAACCAATGTAGCGAACATAGCCCGCTTTCACCACGTCGTGGAGGGCTTGCATCTGGAATTGAGTAAGCGAAAGTCGATGGCAAGATGGATTAACGCACGGTCTCCTCGATGGGAGTCTCGGGGTCAAAACGGTGGCCTGGAAGATTGTCAGGTAAGTGTGGTGTGAGGCAAAGTACGGACATACACTGCAAGAGATCAATGTAATCGAGCTGCAGGCGCCGCAAACTGTGCTTGACCGAGTCGAATATATGCTTGAGAGATCGTTAGCTGAAAAGTTCATGTGAACTGTCAACACACACCTTGCGACTCAATCCACTCTGGTTAACATAGCCCTCCTTTTCGAGTTCGGCCTGGCTTTTGTACCACATCGCTACTGCCGGGTCGTGCGCCAAGGTGAAAAACACCTTGGTCATGACCACAATTTCGTCCCGTGGCAATTTGTGCTCTTTGATAGCGCGCCCGAGGATCTCCTCCGACAATCCGTTGGAATACACGTTTGCAGTGTCGAAGGCATTGATTCCGGCATCGTAGCTGCTTTGACTTGAGAGATGATTCCGCAGAATGCAAGGCCAACTCACGCGGCTTTGATATGCTTCGACGCCTCCTCTTCCGGCAGGACCCAGTTGCCAGCCCATTCCGGATGGCCATAGGACATGCACCCGAGAATAACCTTGGAAATTTTGAGACCCGACTTGCCGAGACGGACTGAAGAAGGTCATGCAAGCGGCCAGAACGAATGGAATGGCACCAACCGTATTCCATTTTGCGAGTAGTAGAAGACATGAGGGGGATTGTTGGTCAAGCACAAGATCGGGAGCCCCTTAAATATTCACATCCTGGGCATGCCGAGCGAGTACGCGTCCCCTGCGGCACCATTATGCGAAATTCTTCGGGCGGCTTTGCTCAGAGAACTGGAGTCATGCAGTGGATCATAGCGGTATTGCCTAGACAGGAGTGGCTATTTCAGCCGTGCGAACGAAGGCGGAGAGATTGCAAACTGAACGTCGGAAACAGTCTTGGGTCGACCACAACAAATCCGATGAATCAAAGTTGCCATCAACAACCACTTTCTCTTAGGATTGACACAAGACTCGTTGAACAGCCGGCTCATTCACCTGTGGCGAAATTTCGACTGGGCCAAGACGGAAGCAGTCACACTCATCGGCACGCGGGCTCTCAATCTCGTTCAAGACGTTGGAATCCGAACGTTTGGTGGCAGGTGTTCCATTCTGTCTGAATCTTCGCCCTGTTTCCGCTCTCGCCCTCTGCTACTTGTCCAATGAAAGCCAGGGAGGTCAAGCATCATCGTCTCCCTGCATGCCCTATGCGGTCCTAACTAGCCGTCTTTCTACCCAACAATGGCTCCGGCAGTGTCGAAGGTTCTACTTCAGTTTTTCAAGATCGGCGACTCATTGCAGAAGTTGCGCCAGGAGACGCTCTCCCTTCGAATTCCAAGTTATATCTCGTCGACGGTGGAAAGATTCCTGGTGGCGAATGAGGTGCTGGACGTTTTGACGGGGAAGGAGATTTGCCCGAAGCTGTGTTTGTCAAGTTCTCGACGGATGGGAAAGTCGTGGATATGGTCGAGTCGGGTGCAACTCGAGGAGTGCTTATGCGGGGAGTTCGTAACTTCGTTGAATCTGGCGTTCTTGCTGCGAAGCATCCGGAGGATTTGAGGAGCTCAATGTGGGGAGGGTGGGGATTACTGTTGTCGGGAGATAGGTGAACGCTTTGGACAATGAAATAGACTTTGTTGCTGTAACTTCGTGTGTATGTATTCGACTTGCTGCCATGTGATCACTTTGAACTTGAACCACATCAAACGCGCTCGCACCCTCGATTCCCTCATCCAGGCCTAGATTCAAGGAGAATTGGGGGACGTCTGACTCTCTGCGATCCATCCGAGCTCCACGAGAGCCTGGGCCATAGTTGAGACCAAATTCTCCTATGTCTTGCACCGCCTTCGACACTCATTTTCGCTATATCTCGCCGTCCATTGGACCAAAAATTACGGTTTTTTGGTCGACGGGTAGCCCTGATTTTTCTCGTCATCCCTGTGTACACGTTGCGTGCCAAAAGCAGCGGGAAATTTACTTCCGCTTGCTTCCGTGGAACCAACTCGTTCCGCAATGTCTCACTCTACATCCGCCCCCTATTCTCTCCTTTAACGGTCCAGACTCTTTTTCAGCAATGCTATAAAAGCAGGGCAGATTTTCGCTATCCAGCATCACCGAACAACGCTTGTAACGACTCAAAATCATGAAGACCACAATCCTACTCTCTGCACTCTCTCTCGCAACCTTCGTCGCCGTCGACGCTCTCCCTCAAGACACCAACGCTCGTCGGTTGGCTCGTGGTTTACCCCCACTCCCTCCCCGGCGCCGGACACCCGGTAAGTTCTTTCTTTATATCTTCGGTCGTTGGCTGACAATTTTGTTAGGTGCCGTCAAGCGTTTGACGCCTTCTTCAACGCCCTACACTTGTGGAACGAAGAAAACGTTCTGCTGTTCGGGCTTCGATTCTACCAGCAGCTCTGCTGGCAAAAATATACTCAGTGGCCTCGGTGTACCTTCGAGTACCTGTGGCGAGTATGTCGGTATCGGTTGTGTAGTTGCTGCTGCAGATGGAAAATGGCAAGTTCCATTCGTTTCAACCTTTTTCTCGACGCTAATGATTTCTCTCTATTAGTTCATCTGGAAGCACTCTTGCACAATGTTGCGGAAATACCGCCGGTCCTGGAGTTGGTATAGACTGCACGCAGAGTGAGTGTTTGTCTTTTCCATCCACGACCCGGGTCTCATGATGTTCCACAGTTGCATCGTCTACCTCTTCATCACACACGTCCTCGACGTCGGCCCATGCAAGCTCCAGCTCTGCATCGGTCGCTCGTTCGTCGTCCGCCAGTAGTGTTCGTGCATCGTCGTCGTCTTCGCATTTGAGCAGCTCCGCTTCGCGTTCGAGCAGTTCTGCGTCGTCGTCGATTTCGGTGCCCCACTCTTCCAGCAGTGTTCGCAGCTCGGTTTCGGCTTCCAGCGCCTCCCGTGCTAGCAGCTCTGCTTCCAACTCCCACTCGGCGTCGGCTAGCAGTGTTCGTGCTTCGTCTTCTTCTTCCTCCCGTGCGAGCAGCTCCGCATCTGCCTCGGCATCGCGTTCGAGCGCTTCTGCGTCGTCGGTTTCGGCGTCTCGCTCTTCGGCCAGCTCCGGCGGACGTTCGAGCTCCATTGGACATTCTTCGGCCAGCGCGGCCTCTTCGAGCAGCGCTCGCAGCTCGTCATCGGCGTCGATCCGTGCAAGCTCCAGCTCTGTCGGAAGCTCTGCCTCTCGGTCGTCGTCAGCTAGCAGCATCAAGGTCTCGTCGTCGTCTTCGCGCCCCAGTGGTTCCTCGTCCGCTTCTGCATCGCGTTCGAGCGCCTCTGCGTCGTCGGCTTCGATTCCTCGCTCTTCCAGCAGTGGTTCCCGGGCTAGCAGCTCAGCGTCTGCTTCTGCTTCCCGTGCGAGCAGCTCGGTGTATGGTCATTCCTCTGCCAGTGGCTCTGCTTCTGCGGTTCGCTCCTCGAGCAGCGTCTCCCGTGCCAGCAGCTCGGCATCAGCCTCTGCTTCTCGGTCAAGCAGCTCTGCATCATCGGCTTCCGTCGCCCGGTCTTCGAGCAGCGTTCGCAGCTCATTGGCTCCCGCATCGAGCAGCTCTGCCTCCCGAGCTAGCAGTTCTGGGTCCTCCTCAGTTGCACGCTCCTCAAACAGCGCTCGTCCCTCTTCATCCGCTTCCAGCGTCTCTGCCTCCAAGGCCAGCAGCTCTGCCTCCAAGGCTAGCAGCTCTGCCTCTCGGATCAGCAGCTCTGCTGCTTCAACTTCGTCATCTCGTTCCGCCAGCGCCAGCATCTCTGCTTCCCGCGCCAGCAGTTCCGCGCTTTCTGCCTCGGCGTCTCGTTCTGCAAGCGCCTCTGCTTCCAGCGCCTCCCGGGTTAGCAGTTCTGTAGCTTCGGCA